AACCTCCTGCTGGGGGAGGGGCTCCACCGCCGAACGTCAATGACCAACTAAATATCAGTCCGGAACATCAACCTGCAGATTCCTGGGAAGAAGCAGCGGTTGATGGAGATCCTCTACTTACTCCAGAAAATGAAGAAGTAAGTATAAATTTAACAAAAAATGTGAAAAGTTATTATAATAATGTGAAAATGTGAAAAGTTCTTTGACAGCGATATTCTTATTATGTTCTTACAGTGTCCTAAATAAGCTACATTGACTTCTGGTAGATTTTTTAAGCATTTACTCTATTATTATTATATTTAATATTATTTCTAGGCTGATAATGACGAAGACGAAGAAATGGTTGTTAAAATACCCAAAAAGAAACCTGTCAAAGTTGCAGAAGACACTAAAAGCAAAAAGGAACATGTTAATGTTGTTTTCATAGGTCATGTGGGTAAGTAGTAAATTTATGAAGAATATAACTGGAATATAATATGTAGTAGGAAACTTCACAGAAGAATTATTGATAATTTCTTAATAAAATTATCATTATTAGATATTATATCTGGTGTTTTGCAGATGCTGGGAAATCAACTATTGGAGGTCAGATCATGGCGCTTACGGGGATGGTGGACAAACGTACCTTAGAGAAATACGAGCGGGAAGCGAAAGAAAGAAGTCGAGAAACATGGTACTTAAGTTGGGCGTTGGACACAAATCAAGAAGAGAGAGAAAAGGGCAAAACTGTGGAAGTGGGCAGAGCCTACTTTGAGACAGAACGAAAGCACTTTACAATATTAGACGCACCCGGCCATAAAAGCTTTGTACCGAATATGATTGGTGGCGCGGCGCAAGCCGATTTAGCAGTCCTTGTTATTTCCGCGAGGAAAGGCGAATTTGAGACGGGTTTTGACAGAGGGGGTCAAACAAGAGAGCACGCTATGCTTGCTAAAACCGCGGGTGTCAAGCATTTGGTTGTATTAGTAAATAAGATGGACGATCCTACTGTTGAGTGGGACGAGGGTCGATACAATGAATGCAGGTATACATTGAATGCAAAATTTAGAAATAGAATACATACAGATTCGGTCAAATATATGTTTAGAAATATTTCATTTAAAAAACTAATTGGAAATAATTTCAGAATTATTGGAACGAAATAAATTATTAAGATCGGTTTTATTCCTTTAAATATATTTTTATTTATTTTGATAATAATAGAATTGTGCGTTTCTTTACTTATATGAATAGAAAAACGTTAATATATCTTTCAGGGATAAGATACTGCCATATCTCCGTAAACTAGGATTCAATCCTGCGAAAGATCTTACGTTTATGCCAGTTTCTGGTCAGCTTGGTATTGGCTTAAAGGATCCAATACCAGAACATCTCTGTAATTGGTATAGTGGTCCACCATTCATACCTTTCATCGATTCGCTACCCTCGCTCAATCGTAAAAGTAATGGACCTTTTATTATGCCGATCGTCGACAAATATAAAGATATGGGGACAGTAGTTATGGGCAAGGTTGAAGCGGGAGAAGCTAAAAAGGGACAGTCATTGCTCGTCATGCCAAATAGGGTATGTATATATTTTTTTAAATAGAAATAATTTTTTTTCCTATTTTTGGTCAAAACGGATCTTGGTGCTTAATAATACTAAATGTAAATATTTGCAAATATATTATTTCAATTTATAAGTGAAAAATGTAAAAAAGCCCATCAGAGCCTACATCAGCTGTTCGGATGCACAAAAAATTCTTTATTTTAATTGAGGACCCGAATTGAAAAATCAAAACTCGTATATTTATTCGTTTTGTTACTTTCACACGAAAAAAATTTTCTGTGCATCCAAATAGCTGATGTAGGTTCTAATAGGCTTTTTCACATTTTTCACTGATAGATTCTTTCGAATCTTATTTTATATATCAATTTTATAATCTGTGCGCTGATAAGATTTGTCAGATTTAAAATGCAATAACAAACTAAAGTTGAAATTAATATCTCAAAGAGATTGATTATTCATTTTAATTGAGGTACTTATTAGCTTCACTATTAAAATAGATGATTAATCTAATTCGAGAAATTAATTAAAGCTTCAATTTGCGATTGCATTTCAAATCCGACAAATCTTATCGATGGGCAGTTTATAAATATGCTTGCAAAAATTTGCATTTAGTATTAACCACTAAGATTCACTTTGATTGAAAATAGGATTATTTCTATTAACTGATTTATCATCGATCTAATTTTGATTTATAATTATATATATTTTTTGTTTCTGGAATTAACTTATATTAATTTATATTATTTTAAATTTAAATTATATTTTACATTTGAATAAAATGTTGATTTCTGTTAAATTTCCTTCTAAAATTTCCAAAATTTCTTAAGAAAGCGATTAACAAACTTTCTATACAGAAAGCATATCAACCAATAACTTTATTGTTTTAACAATAAAAATAGTTTTATATAGAATTGTAACTAACTGATACAATGATTGACATTTGCTCCAATTTAATATAGAAAAATTGTAATATTTTCTTTGTAATTTTCTTGTGTAATTTTTAATGCTTCATATTTTATAGCCTAAGTAAGATAATGTACGTTTATGAGAATATTTTGTTTAAAATTTGCAGACGGCAGTAACGGTGGATCAACTGTGGTCGGATGACGAAGAAGTAACGTCTGTTGGACCTGGGGAAAATGTCAAGATCAAACTAAAAGGTATCGAAGAGGAAGATGTTAGTCCCGGATTTGTCTTATGCGACAGCAATAATCCTATCAAGACCGGCAAGGTCTTCGACGCGCAGGTAGTAATTCTAGAACACAAGAGCATTATTTGTGCGGGATATAGTGCAGTCATGCATATTCATTGCGCCGCTGAGGAAGTCACGGTAAAGGCGCTGATCTGTCTGGTGGATAAAAAAACCGGCGATAAAAGCAAAACGAGGCCGAGGTTTGTCAAGCAAGATCAAGTGGCTATAATGAGAATCGAGTGCGCGGGAGTTATATGTCTCGAAAGATTCAAGTTATTCCAACAAATGGGCCGTTTTACTCTTAGGGATGAAAGTGAGTACTGACGATAACTCAGCGACTTTTTTTTCTCTGTCACTATCGTTTTTTCTTTTGTTTGTTCCGCGACTACGATAATTTTTACGATAAATGTATATACTTGTATAATTTCAGATAAAACTATTGCAATTGGCAAGGTGCTGAAAGTCGTCGAGTAAAAGAAAAAAACTTGCTTAAGTGTTACGACAGATTAATAATAAAGAAAAAAAAAGATCATTATTTCAATGTGACAAATATGTGACGATGCAAGGCGAGCACACGAGATAAGCAAACCGAACGGGCATGATAAAATTCCGGGTGAATTAGTAATAATGTAACATATTACACAAACAACTCACACACTATGTACCCAGAGCTATACAAACAATACATGCGTCCACGTGCTACGACGCGACGGGTAATGGGGTGGGGGGTGGGGGGAAACGGGGAGAAGGGGAAAAAATATTTATAGCCTGATACAAGAGTAAATAGATTCGATTATATAGATAAGGAGACCTACACAATCGAAAGAAACAAACTCAAGAGCGTGTGTTCCTTTTATTAGATAAACTGAACGGCGGCAACTTGCATTGGAATAATTATAAACGGATGATGATCAAATAATAACTGAGTCTCCTTGATAATAAAACAAGAAAAAACACGATATTTTTATTCTTCTGAGGTGCGATACACGGAAGTGGAAGTAAGATTGATATCCATTGCAGAAATTAACATTTAAGGAAATATATGATTAATATTATAATTATTATTGAATAATTATTATTAAAGTGGTGGTAAGAGTTGGAAAGAAATTTATTAAATAAATCAACAAAATAGTGTTACACAACAATTTATAATTATAAAATTAATATTACAATTATTATTATACTGTTTCTTATTATATTGTCATTAAAAACAAATTTGCAAAAAAGTGTACCCTGATAATTTTAATAGGGATGTGGATGTATATACGCGTCACTGTACATCATCCCTACAGTATGACGGATTTCCTATGTATATTTTTTCAAACCATAAAAGCAAATGGAATGGATCAAGTAGTTAATCGAATTTGCAAATATTTAAGGCGCACAAATGCGTCCCGCGCCCCGCGCATGTTTTATTTCGTCTAGAATATTTTATTAGAATAGTTTTCACTGGTGACTTATCACTCTAAACTCGTTAAGTTATCATTCGAAGCTCATTAAAATTCAAAGGCAAAAATGCATTAAAATTCGAGGCAAAAATGTACTAACTTAATTTACTTCTAAATTTTTTTCTCTTTTAAGAGAATATTTTTTTAATGGAATCTATTTTCTTAAGAG